CACAAACACAAACACAAACCTAAACCTAAACCTGAAAACACACCCACACACACACCCACACACACACCCACCCACACACACACCCACCCACACACCCACCCACACCCACACCCACACCCACACCCACACCCACACCCACACCCACACCCACACCCACACACACACACACACACACATCCAAATGGGTGTGTCTTCAAGTAGTCGACCGTGGTTCTCCCTTTTTCTTCTGCACCTCGCCCCAAAAGCCATGGCAACTCGACAAAGACGCACCCAAGTCGATTTGGCCTCCCGACCAACATGAACAATCGATTTCTTCTTCGCCGGACCTTCTGTCAGGCCCCCCGGCGAAAGTGGCAGGTGCAAGGGGCACCAAGGGTCACTCATGTTCTGACTGGCAGACTGGTGTCTTGTCAATATTCTGGGCTCTAGTCTTCTTCTTGTTTTATCCTTTCGGACAGGGATGTTTTACGTTTCCAGGACCCTGAAATTCAGATGCTGCGAATCCGACTCCTCCATTTGCTCCGTCTCATTCAAAAAAAGGCATATGTTTCCAGTAGTGATAACTTCCCTTCAGGGGAAAATAAAACATGTGGGTGTGTCTGTTTCTGGCGCACCCTTCCTTCACTGTCAACCCCCCGAAAAGCAGGTACCCCCAAAAAGAAAGACGTCATGGCGGCTAAAGCACCAAACCTCCCAGCAAAAGTCATTCATAGCCCCTCCCTCCCTCCCTCCCTCCCTCCCTCCCGTCCCTCCTCCCTCCCCTCCCCTCCCCCCCTCAGTTCCCCTCCCCTCCCTCCCTCCCTCCTCTCCCTCCCTCCGTTCCCCTCCCTCCCTCCCTCCCCCTCCCCATACCCTCCATTCCCCTCCCCTCCCTCCCCTCCCTCCCCTCCATCCCCTCCCTCCCCATGAAACCGGAAGTTGAACATTCCAAGCGGCCGGCGTAGCCGGCTTCGGCCGCCACGCGGCGCGGCTCGCGGGCCAAGCGCGGAGCCCGCGGTGTTTTGCGTCCATGGCAGCATGGGCTCGTGGGTTCAGTTCAGCGTTCTCTCAGCTCTGCCCTGGATGGGACCTTACAAGGTGAACCTCACAAAATGGCACCAACAGGGGAACACCCAACCGTCAAAAAATTGGCTTCGGACAACTGAAGTGTTGGTTAGCCCCCGGTTGTTGCCTCCCAACGCGGTCAAGCCAGGGGACAAGCTGAGAGACTTTGCTTGCTTGGAATCCTTGGCTCCCTGGCTCCAATGTCGTGCGGATGGACATGGGCAAGCCTAGCTGTGGCCAGTCTTCCATTTTCTAGACTGGTCCTCCAGCAGAGAGGTTAGAATAAGGGTACCAACTTGTTTTCGGTCGTCTATTTTAGTAGGGGAACCCTTCAAACAAAAAAAGACACCAAAGGGCACTTCTGGGGGACCTAGTGGACATACCCTGCTTGGTTTGGTGCACAGGCCCCTTTGGAAGATTTCCTTTCGGGAAAGCGGCCTGTGCACGTCCTTGAGCTGACCAGCTGAGGGCGGGAAGACGAGGAAGACGAGCACCAAGCTAAACTTTAGATACCCCCCTACAAGAATTAACGGAAGGAACCCGGATCCGGGGTCCACCAGAAGGAGCTTCCTTATGTGGGTTCCATGTTGAACTGTTGGAGGGTAAAGCCCCTTGGTGAGGATTCACCCCTACCTTTTTGGGGATTAGGATGGGGTAAAGGTTCAAAATTCAATTATTCTTCTGCAAGCGGAAAGCTTACGATGGCTTGCTGCTGACCGAGGCCTAAGTCAATCTCGCCCATTTCATTCAACACCTGTCATGCTTGTAGGATCGGAAAAACAACATGCCAAAAGTCCTCCTCTGCCACCCTTCATCTTGGGGGGGAGGGGGGAATGAGCAAGACTGCGCCATAAATGTAGGCACTTTGTCGAGTACAATTTCTTTCGCGAACCGCGAGAAAAAAATGCTCCAGCCAGCCAAAAGGAGACCACCACTTCTTCGCACGTGCTCCAAAAATGCAGCCAGATTCCATATTTAGCCGACTCCAAAACATCATCAATCTTTGGAGGCGGCCCCAGATTATCGCTACAAGGGCAACCAACCATTGTATCCATAGGTGTCCTTTTCGGGGAAATAGATGGATTTCCCTGGTAGATGATTAAACCACCAGGTAAACCAGAAATCGCTATCTATGTTTCGACCAAAACAACCAAGAAGGACACCTATGTCTAGGGGTAGCTCCCCCATTCTGAACCCATCCGAATCTTTTCAGGAAACCATCTTAAAAACCCAAGGGACAGCTGGTTTTCGCAACTTCCAGTTATCTAGTCTTCCCCTTACAAAGGAAATGGAACCATAAAAGGAATTCCGGGGGTCCTCCTCCGATGCTGTTGACCCCTCTGCAAAAAGCTTACCTTTTTGTGGGTTTAATGGAAAACCCCTTGAAACCCCAAAAAGTTAAGTACCTGCAAAACACGCAGCCCCCATGGCGTTCTTTTCTGAAAGTTATAGCACATATAGCACATATAGCCATGATTTGGGGAAGTGCGGGGGCTCCGCAGGCCCCGGCGCGGCTCTGCAGGTCGTGCACGCCTCGAGGCCATTGGATCAATTTTGAAGCAACGAAAGACAACCATTCAGCATTGAAAACCTGGAAGTCTAAAGATCCAAGCCAAGCAATCAAGAGGGGGTGGGACGTTCGAGGTCCTGCATGCTCTCAGGCCGGCTGGTGCGTTTCGAGCTGGCCGAGGGGTCGCCGTAGACCCGCCTCAGCATCAACACTTCGGGACCCCGAAACGGGTTCTAGGTCCCCCAGTAGAGAGGTTGGAATAAGGCTACCAGCTTTGTTCAGGACGTCTATTTCAGTAGGAAAAAAACCCTCCCCCAAAAAAGGGGTGAGAAAGGGCACCTAGCTGGGGGACCTGGTCTTGTTTTCTTTTTTCAAACCAATAGCCGAAAGGGCGCCCGTCAAAAATAACACCTGTTCAAACACACATACTATGTGTATATATATATATAGATATGTGTCACATATAAATGCCTAATATACAAATGCATAGCTGAGGCTGGTTATTCCCCCCCCAAACCAATCCAAAGCCCGAAGCTCACTGCCCAACCTGCAACACGCCCGCAAAATACTTGCTGGTTCACAGCAGGGAATGAGAAATGGTATAACCTCAAGACAAACCATCCATCTTATGGCTTCCTTTGCTTCGAGTCATTCCCAAACCCTGGGTGCCGAGCACCAGCAAGTCAAAGCCTGCCCGAACAAACCTGGCCCTAAGCAACAATTCGCTTCCCGATTGGATGGGTTTGCAGGTGCTGAGCTTGGGTGGCAACCCCCAATTTACCCTCAAAAGTAACCAGGGGCCCGTTCAAATCCGCTGTTTTCCGGAACCTCAAGTCTTGAGTGGCAGTTTCAAACTCACTTCCGGTTGGGAGTTAATGGGCCAAGCAACAACTCAAATAACTAACCTAACCCAACAAGTGAGGATCAAGTCCGGCTCTGGGAGTGAGTCCAAGGACGCCACTCGAGTAAGTTCATCTACAAAACTCCAGGCCATCATCTAGGTCCTCCAGTAGAGAGGTTAGAATAAGGGTACAACGCTTTTCTGTAGTCTATTTTAGTAGGGGAACCGAACCCTCGCCCAAAAAAGAAACGGGAGAGAAGGGCACTACTGGGGGACCTAGTCCTGATACTGTACCCTGAGGCAGCCGCAGGAAGGAGGAGGGGTTCTTGAACTCCTCTGGTGGCACCAGCACCGGTGCCTGAAGCGGCAAAAACAATTCCGCGGCGAAAGCCGCGCGCTTTTCGACTTGTGTGTCTTCCCATGTTTCGGCTCTTGGTTTGGTCTTGCTGCAAGCCCTCTTTTTTGGTTGGCCCTTTTTCCAGTTGGACGAACCGCATTGGCATCTTGAGCTGGAAAGCAAACGGACTATGGGTTTCTGTGGGTCACTACAGTTTCAGTGGCAAGTGGTGCCTTCTCGATGTTTTTGCTGGATCTGTCTTTCCAGACTCCAAAGACAAGGGTTTTGGGGTGCGATTGTGGACGGCCAAAACTCCGGTGGATTGTCGAAGCCCGGTGAAAATATGTTTGGTGGGTTCTCGCTGGATGTTATTTGGGATCCAACCTGCTTCCTCATGCAGGTTCCCAAATCCGAGGCCTGAGGAAAAGGGGGGATCCTGTGGCCTGGTTGCAAGATGGTCTGGGCGAATAATTATTCACATTGAAGTGAAACAAATACCACGTGAGAAACCTTCATACTTGAGGTCGCAGACCCCCACCCACCTTGATTTGCCCAGAATGGTGGCTAGTGCGGGCCTGCCATAGCTTCTATAGCTGGAGTAGAATGGGCCGCCCAAGCACCCGATGAGACCCCCTGGAGCTCTTGTTCTGCAGTGGGTCGGTTGCTCTGCTGGGCATGGTGTGAACAAGATGCAGAGGCTGTCTCGGAACCTTGGCGCGAGTTGGTCCTGGATTGGCTTGATGTTGGTTGGGCATTGTTTGAACTTCGCTCCGGGCTGCGCACTGCCACTTCTAAGTTACACAAAAACGGCTCCAAGCATCCCGCGGCTCCAAGCAAGGTCCCGCTCTAGCTTCAAATCTGCTTGTCCCAGCCAGCCAGCTTGAAATAGCCTGGGTGAATTATTATATCTCCCAGGCCTTTAGGTCTTGATGAATACTTTGACCTCGCAATGATTTACCCAGAATAGTGGAACCCCAAAACGTTGGTGCTGCCCTCCTGCCCTTTGCGTTCTTTTCAGCCAGTGAGAGCCCCAAATTGCCGGGTAGGAGCTATGGCCCCCTGCCCGTCGGTCCCGGTCCTTCGTGTCCTATGCAAATAAAAACAAACCCGACGGGTTCGGTTCTGGGTGAAGTGGGTATGGCGGGTATGGGTCAAAATTAAACCACCAGGGCACCACAGGTCTTAGTCCATGTTTCCACTTACAAGGGTTCCATTTCTTGGTCTGGTAAAGCTTGTCCTTTATTGGGGTGCCCCATGTTTGGTGGGGGGTTAAAAGAAAACCAAATGAAAACCACCATTTTGGAAGCCCCTAAAAGAACACACACACACACACCCTGGGTGGTAAATTTGCAAGCACCAGGGACCCTTTCAAATCCTTAAACCGCTGGCAAGGCATGAGGGAATGACCCTTGCAATGGGAACCCCGATCAGTAAGACCCCTGGTTGATTGATGGGGTGTCCCCTTTTAGTGGGGCTTAGCACTTTTGTAGGGAACACCCGATCTAGAATAGGACTGGTTTTTGAATCCGTGGCAACATTAAACCATCGCTTCTGGTTGCCGGAGCATGGGGACCAGGTTCATCCCTCATTCTCGCCAGCCGAGAAATCGCAGCCCGTGGCCATGAATCAAGGCGGAGATCCACAACCTGGAGTCATGAACCAAAAACGGTTGGTCCCAGATCTCATTTCCGATCCCCAAAAAGTTACCGAAGACGGTTCCAACCCAACAGTACATATAAAGTCCGGGAACTCGGGGAGTAAGAAAATAAGGGGGCATGATCCCTTGTTTCAGAAGGGGACTCCAACTGCCTCTTGAAACCACTAACCTTCGAACCGGTTTTGAGGACGTGGCAAAGGCATCCGTCTGATCCGTCCTTGGACACTCCGGAGCCGAGCAGCTCGAGTGAAGTCTGCAAGCACTGGCACGCCTAGGCTCGGGCGAAGCAATGAAGCAATCCGAAAAACAAAGACCAGGTTGCGAGCAACTAGTTTCTTCCTTGCTCCATTCCTTCCTTTTCTTCTGTATTGGTTTCCGTTCTTTCTAACTTCCTGATCCAACTTTTGGGACTTTTTGGGAATGCCACTAAACTGTTCCAAACCCAAAAAGTGACCAAAGTCAATGAACTCACGGAGTGACGGTCCCCCTTCTTGTGGAACAAGACTCTCATGGTAAGGGGGTGACTAAATCCTCTAAGTCAGGGGGTTGGGTGATTTGCCGAAGGGCGTCCATTGCAGGCGAGCTCTTTTCAACCCCCCGAATCGATGAATCGGTTGCCATAATTATACGACACGCAGACGGTGAGTAGAAAGTGGGCCCCTGGAAAGCAAAAGGAACCAATTGTTAGAATTAGTTGAGTCTGAAGGCCTATAGAGATCTCATATTGACAGAAGGTACGGGAACCAATGCCAACGTAGCCTTCTGGTTTGATAATTTTAAGGGCTTGGAGTCCACTTGAATCAAGGTCCCGTTTGCCAACAAGCAGCCAACCCCGGGGTGTGCCCAAGTAAGTTTTCAGGGGTCGTCAGAAGGTGCAAAAGTCAAAGGAGCAATGCCCAAGGCCCAAAGCAAGCAAACGTCAGTGGGAGAACTGCAGGTCCAAGGCTGCTGTGAGCAGCTGCAGCCGCAACCAATGCCACAAAGGATGCTCTTTGCTGGCCTGACTGAACCTAGTCGGGCGAATCTGAACAAGCAACCATCTTGATCCGCCACCTGTCTGCCCGCAAGCCGCAAGCGACCTTTCGTAAGAACTTGCGAGCGCGGGTGTGTGTGTGTGTGTGCATGTTTGTCTGTGTGTGTGAACAGCAGCACTTCCTCCAGGTAGCAAAAGGCTTCCTTATGGCTACCTCTTGTATGGCGTAAATAGGGCTTGCAGTGTTCACAAATACATGTCCCCAAAAAGCACCCCGCCACAAGGCAGCTCACCTCGAGTTGGCAACCAACCATGTCAAAAAGCTCGACCCGAGGCCCATTTCCAAAATTTTCCAAAGATACATGCCGGCGAGCTTGGGCATAAGCAAGGGGCACGTGGTTGGGTGGGCTTGGGGGCTATGAAAGGGTAGCCCCTTGCACCCAGCAATCACCCCTACCTCAGCTCATGGTGCTTGATCTGCCGTGTGCTTTTGCCCACACCACTGTGTCCAGCACCCCCGCCCTCAGCCCCTTGCCCCAGGCCATTCTCAGTCCTGGGCGCTTCACCTACCCCCAGCTCCTTGCCCTTGGACTCTGGCCGGCAACAGCCAAGCCACACGGGCTGGCCACACAGTCATGTGTCCAACCGCGGAGTCCAACCCCAATGAGGCTGTAGCTGTGGCCCTTGGAAAGTCACCCAGCCCCAGTCGCTTCCTAAATCAAGAAGCCCCGGCCAAGGCGGGCAGCGCGAAGCGTTTACAATTTCCCACATAATGCTAACCCCGCATGAAGTTAAACCCCTGGTTGATTCTCATCGGGGGGTGTCCACCACACCCCTTTTGGAGGGAACACCCCCCTAATAATGGGACGGGTTGATTAATCCTGGGTGAACATTAAAAGGAACTGGCCATCCCTCGGTTGCTTTCTGCTCCCTGCTAAAAGTTGAACTTTTAGTGGCTTAGTTGAAAACCCATTAGTTGGCAAACGGCTCAGCTAAAGTCCTAACATCCCTTGACAAAATGCACCAAAGATCCTTCACCCTGATGCACTTTCTTCGCATCTCGCCCGCGCGCCAAGCCGCAGCCGTGTGGGGATCTGCGAAGCCTGCGGACGTGGCGCTCGCCCGGGTGATTTCGCGAATGGGGAGATGAAGTGTCCACCAGCGGCTTCTTCTGGCCACGAGCCCCAAATGCAAAGAACACAAAAGCAGGGGCTTACTAAGGAAGGAGCGTGGAACAAGCAGCTGATCCAATATAAGGATGAACCATGCCAGTACAATGGGTACAAGTACAATGAGGAAAACCAAAGGTCAGCTGTCTTGTTGTATTGCGGCAACATTGCTGCAACATGCGACCTGCTTCGGGCAAACAAGTCCCTTACGCGACAAAGGAAACTGCCCTGGATTGGAGGATAAACCAGAAGAGAGCTAAACCATGCTTTGGGCATCCAGCGTGTGTTGGCAAGCAGCTTGGGCGTTTAGGCGTTATCATGGTGTGATGCCCTCTTCACACGCCAATGTTCCATGGCCTGGACCTCTGATACGTCTCCAAATCCCACGACCAACGCTGACATCAACTTGCACTTTGGTCTGGGAGCTAGCTACGTAGGTAACCCAGGTTTTAGATACCCTACGTGCCTTGGTGGGTTGAGTGCCAAGCATCTCGCAACCGCTTTCGCAGACTCAGCTCAAGCGAGCGCCTTGTCTTTGAAACTGCAGCAGCAGGCCATCGGCGGTTTGCTGTGCCGCAGCCCGCACATTGGCGGCTTCCAGTTGGCTGATGCGTGACGACCTCGAATCCGAAGGCGGCAAGCCGTCTGCGGCGTTCGAAGCCAGCGGGGCTTGGGTGGCCACGTCTGACTTTTGGTTTGGATGGTTCGAAATGGCGGTGAATGTTGCTTTCCTCCGCCTCCAAAACTGGGCTGTCCTTAGATCCCCCGCTAAAAGTTTCACTTTTTTAGTGGGTTCAGTTAAATACAAATCCCAACTAAACACTGAAAGGCTAAAAAGCTAAGGAACCGGATGGCTGCGAGTCACCAAGAAAAAAAGGACATTCCCTTTGACTTCCGGGAGCCATCCAGAATCAGGGTACCCCCAAAACGGCGCAGACCTGGGTGCGGCCTCTCGTGAGAACTGACACCAAAAACCAATCCTTTGAACCGTTTGAGTTGGCGACATCTTAACTTGAAGGGGCCGAAGCACATGATTTTGCGCACAGGTGAGGATGTCAGGCGTGTCTGTTTTTTAGGGGGCCCCAAGTCTGCTTTGTAGGGGACCCAACAAGTTGTGGTCTTCCCTTGATATTCCCCTCAAACCCCAGCAAAAGGCGCAGCCTCAAAAAAGACACCCCCCCACATCTGCACCAAAACCTTTGAACTCACTGACTGGAATCGACTCCAATCTCCTAGTTTTGGACTGCCCCTGGAAACAAAACATGCGGAACAACTTGAATCAGGTAATTGGGGAATTCCCGGTTCTTGCAAAGGGTTAATGGGAAACCCCTCCTTAACCGCCAAACCATCCAAACCAGCATTTGGAAGGACCCAACATAGTTGAGTCACTTCTTGGCATTCTGTTGGGTGCAGTCAGCTCCATTCTTGGCGTGGTGGCAAAACACTTTGCTTTTTGCAGCCTCCCCCCCAGTAAAACTGATTAGAAAAAAACATAGAAACACATGCCAAGAGGTATGGAGCGCATTTCGGCGTGCCCTCCAACCCCGTTGTGGACACAACCCCCCGGCACCCACGCCGCACCCCATCCGTCGCCGCTCGCCTGGGGCTCGTGAGCTCCGCCTTGGGGGTTTTCAGCGGCAGCTCCTCGCACCTGGCGCTCCGGGATGCGAAAGTGTCCCAACGCACTTCTTGGTTGCTGCAACGACCCCCCTGCAAAAAGTGAATAATTGTTTGGGGGTTGATTGGAAAGCCCAACTTTAGTGCAACCAAAATTTAAAGTCTAAAGATCCAACCCAATAGCAGTCCAGAGTTTGGCCCCCGGCCGAAGAACCCAGTTACCCTTAACAAGAACCAGGGCTTCAAACCCTCAAACCAATCCAAACCGCCAAAGAGTTCATTGGATGGCTCAGCCGAACTCCGAGTTCGCTGCTTTTTCAGTCACTGTTGCGATCGGTTTTTGGGGTAAAGTGCATGGAGATCCAGGATGTTTGAGCTTCCATTAAAAAGGGGCGGATCCCGGAGAAGGTCCAGGACCGCGTTTTTGCTGGGTCAAGGATCCCCCACACCAGTGGCGGCTACCTTAGGCAAGGGAACCTAGAGTAAAAGGGTAAGCCGAGCCAGGCAAGCGAGCGGCTGAGGGTTAGAGGGCGGCTTGCTGCGCCCGGCTTGATTTCCCAGTGCCAGGAGCCTCAAAAACCGATGAAAATGTCATACCTACAAAAAACACGATGTTTTTTGGGAAAACACTATGTTTTCGGGAAACACCGCATTTTCGATTTCAAGCAGTTTCCCATACATTCCTTCAACTCGTCATCCGTTCTCAAAAGATCTCAAAAGCATCATCTCAACCTCAGAATCTCCCATCGCCCTCCCCTTTTGCACTCGCAACGAAATCAGCTTCGCATTCGCCACTCGTCTTTCGCAACTCCAACCTGAAAGAAGGAGGCCGGGGACCCAAATAGTCAAAAGTACCACGGTTTTATGACACTTGTCAAGCAGCAGTGCCATGATGAGGGCGTGCTGGCTTCGAACAGCGCGCAAGCTCAAGCAAAGACCGTGCTTTTGCTCACGACTTCGTTGTTTTCCAGCAACATTCTCGAATTAGCGCATTCGTGGTTGAACCCGAAAAACCCATAGAATTTCCACGCTTTGCCACGCTTTACTACGGGTTCTCCACGGTTTAGCTACGGGTTAGAAAACACGATGTTTTCCAAAAACACGATGTTTTCGGTTGGGGCTGCGGGCTTTCTACGGGTTTCTACGGGTTTTCTATGGGTTTCTACGGGTTTTCTGCGGGTTTCTGCGGTTAGCCGCCAGGATCCCGCCCCATTTGCTAAAAAAAACTCAAAATTGATAAAAACAATCTCAAAAGTGTCACCTGGTCTTGTTTTGCACCAAAAGGAGCTTTCGGATTCCAGCACCCCCTTCAAACTGGTTCGGTATGACCTGGCGCCAGTCTTCAGGTGCCTGTTGCTGCGAAAGGTACTTCAAGACTGAAGCCAGCTGCACACCCTGGCTGTCAGGCTCATCAATGTGGTCCTTAGAATTTGAAGCATACTCAGTATAGAGCGTTGCCCTCAGTTGAAATCTTAATGGGTGATGTCTGTGTGAATCCACTCCCGACCCTTGCCTTTGACCCTTTGCTCCAAATGAGTGTTTGGCCTCAGAAGCCCATTTTTAAGGGGTTTTATCAAAAACACGATGTTTTTCCTGAAAACACGATGTTTTCAGAAAATCGAGAAAAACACGATGTTTTAGGCAGGGTACGACATTTTTACAGGTTCTTGAAGCCCTAGGTGGCGGTGACAATTCTGGAGAGATATGTGGCTGTGGCTCAAAAGATGGTACCCAATACGGCACCTTGGTATATGGAAACAAAGCAAGGCTAAAATATCCGTAACCCAGCAAAGGTTCTTCGGGCCCTGCAAATTGGCAGCTCTTGAAGTGCTATCGTTTGCCCGATCGTTGGCCCCAGCCCCCTATCATTTCCCCCACCCCTAAAGACACATCCAGTTACACTTTTCGTGCAAAAAGTGAACTGCCAAGGTTGATACCTTGGCCCCTGTGGACAGCAAATTGTGAATTTCTGGCTCTGTTCCATATTTCAACTCCAAAAACAGTTCAAAACATGCTTGGAGACCCCAGAAATAAAGGGTGGTCATCATTGACCCCAAATATTGAGAGACTCCTTTGCTTGTTTCACGACCCAACCAGTGAGGTTCTGAGGTTCATGTGAGGGGAACTTGGGGGACCCTCCCAATTTGCGCAAAACCAACAAGGGGAACCAGAAGGTAAGATCCGGTCAATTCGACTTTTGCATATTTCCAGTAGTGAATTTAATTCCCTTTAAAACCAGGGAAAACACAAATATTCCTTTCAGCAAAAATTGGAAGGTCCACCACACCCCACCCCACCCCACCCCACCCCACCCCACCCCACCCCGCTCTGTTGACACGCTCAGCACCTCCGCGGAGGCTGCGGCTGCGGCAGGGGCGCCGGATCCTCCTCCGTGAGGGGCTCCCCACCTGGATCGAGTGGAGCCGACGCGCCCGCGAGACTCGGCGTCGAAGGCTACGCAAGGCGTGGGTTGAGCTCACGTTGAGTGAGGCCTCGAACCCCCCGTCCTCCTCCCTCGTAAAAGGAAATGAAAAAGACCTCAAGTGAGTGAGACACCAGCAATGGGCTTGAAACTATAAATATGGCCATGGGTCAACAATCCAAAGCCCGTACCCCCAGTGAACATCCCAACTAAAATAGGATCGAAGATGGGTGGTGAATTCACCTACCCCATCATGGTATCATTGGTTTTGACCCACAGCCACTTGACATGTTGGGGATGCCATTTCCAGGCAAGCCGGGTGGTTGGGCGCACCTTGGGGTCTTAAGTGTCAGAACAGTGATTTTCGAGAAAGGTCGGTCCATGTTTGCTTGCCCCTCCAAAAGTGGTCTGATTCCAACGGGAGAAGCACCGCCCTATTGCTTAACTGGGGTTGAACAATGTGGGGTCAACATTACCGCCCCGAGTGGACGGTCCAACAACTGTTCATTTACAGTTGTAAACAGGGGTTGATGAATATGGGGTCAACATTATATAAACCCATGCTTTTCCCTGGGTGGAACAGTTCCCGGATAATCGGCTAACCCCCCAGCGGACCAATGGACATATTGGCGAGTGCTGGCGGCTGTGTCCCCCGGTTGTGGCCCAAACCTGCAAGGCAAACCAAGCATGCTCTTCGTTTGGATGGGCACCGCGTCACTGGCCGTCTGGGGTGGCAAATGTTAACTCACTTCCTGAGTGGCCTGGCAAAAAACACTTATTGTTTTACCTTAGAATGGTCCAAAACCTAAAAAAAATGAAAACACGTGTAAGAACTCAGGGAGTGAGTTCATCATCCATTCGCTTTTTCGCCCCCTGAAAAAAACAAACATGTTTCCAGTCGTGAAATCGATTCCCTTTAAAACCAACAAGCAACCCTACTCTGAACCGCAAATGGATCCCTTTCCACCAAACAACAAACAGAATCAACTTCTGGAGCCTGAGTTCGATAAAATCCGCTTAGGTATCTTCTAAAAGAAGTCAAAGGAACCAACATCGCCAGAAAATGCATGTTGCACTGGACCCAAATCTAAGCTTTGCCATACCCAAGCATTGGCTTTGGGTCCCATGCCAATTTCGAGGGGAGTGCCTGGTTGGTGTTCTGCCCGAGTTCCGGCCGAAAAACGGAAACCAAGAAAGAAAACAACAAGAGGGGGGGGGGGGTTAACTGGAAAAACGGAAAACAAAACTGGAAAAACGGGAAACACGGGGGAACAACTGAAAAAAACGCGGAAACACTGCAAAAAACGGTGGAACATTGAAAAACCGGGAGGAAAACAGAGAACAAAGGGGGGACCGCGCGAAAACGGTGGGAAAAAGCCGGAGCCTGGCTCCATGGTGTCGCAGGCGGCGGCGCTGCACACGGCCGCCGAGGCCGCGGGCTCCGACAGAGGCTCCGCCAGCGTGGCCTGCGCTTTGGGCGTGGCTTTGGCCTACCTTAAGGAGAAGGGGGGCGGGGGGTCCCGAATTCCATTGATCTAGTCCCCATAAAAGGGAAAATGGAACCACAAATGGAGATCTGCAGGGGTCACCCCCCTCCCCCAATTCCATTTTTGAGGGGGTGGGGATGTCAGAGGGATGGGCGCCCTGTGTCTTACATCTTGAGATCGTGTTTTGCTTTTGTGTGTGTTTTTAAAGGAAAAAGCCCGAACATGTGTTTTAAGATTGTGTTATTGTTTCTTCTTTTTGTGTGGTTTCATCTTGGCGCCCTGGGTAAGATTGCTTCTTCTTTTTGTGTTGTTTAGAGGAAAAACCCACCCGAAAATGGTAGGTGCTATCTTGAAAGGCCTGAGTTTAGACCCAAAGGTGTGCGTGGGCTGTGTTTGGGTGTGACTTGTTTTGGCCACCCCCAGCAAATGGTAGTGTGTGGAGGTGTCTTTTTCTAGGGGACCCCCAAATGGTGGCCGTTTAGAGGAAACATCACAAGGAAAACAACCCATCTTGAAAGGGCCCAGAGTTCTAAGAACTGACCCAACGGTGAGTGTGGAGTCTTTTCTGAGGGGACCCCCAAATGGCTTCGGTGTTCCTTGTGGTGTCCCTTTAACACCCACAGAAACAGAGGCGCCCTCAAAAAAAAAAACAAAAGCACACAGTTGTTTGGGGCAGGTCCCTGCTCCAATGGATTTCCAGCGGGCGAAAAGGGGCTTCTTGTTTTTTTTTTTTGGGGGGGGGGGGTGGTTGACTTTAAAGGAACAAAAACGTCAATGAACCAGGAACAATGGCACCGGTCCCTATTGCAACCCGAAATAGCCTTGAGGAGATTTCTGAACAAACCATTTGATGGCATTTGGGCTTCTGAGAGTTCGCCATGTGTTCTGATCACACCGCTTGCAAGATCGTGCCCTCTTGCGTCAGCTCAGAATGGCTCAACGATCCTTCTTGCAACAAGAGAGGAGTGGTTCGCACACGAAGACAAACAACACTGCCTTTCGAAAAGCAGTTCAACTAAACTCAAGCCCAGCAATACTAAATCAAATGGGAATTCAATCCAGCACCACTCACAAACAGAAACCCAACTCCTTCAGAAGAAAGTTCAGCTATTCTTCATCTGACAACTCTGCACTGGCTTCCGCAACGCCACGCGACTCTAAACCAATTGATTTGGCGCGTGCCTGGCTATTTTGAGGATTCAACTGTTCAACATGTTTGCAGGTACTGTGTCAACTTTGCAATTGCAGCCTGCACCCTTGACCAGACTTAGATCCTTCAAAAAGTGAAGGAAACCCAGTCTGTTCAGTCTGCAATTCAATTTCAGGGGAGACCAACCGTCCTAGAACTTCATTTCTTTTGTCTGTGTGTGTGTGTGTGTTTTTTTTGGGTACCGTTCACGTCGTTCATAGGTTGGTTCAAAAGGACATTGGCGGGAACCCACTTTTTTTCGTGCGGGGAGGCAACCCATATGAAACTTAATGTGAACATGTTGTTTGGTTTACCCTGCTTTAACGGTCCAGGACGCCAAGTGGGTACTAACCCTGGTCGTCACCCACTTGTGGGGCTTGCAACCATGTTAACTGGGATACACAAAATTTTACTATCCACCTAAGTCCCCGACCATTTGAGTCCATTGGGCAGCTCAGTTGGGTTGACTTAGGGCTTATGCTGAGGCAGCCCATTCCCCTTGAAGGGGTGGATCCCCCAGCCGTTTCCTCCCTCTCTCTCTCACACGCACACATTTCGGCGCACCTTACTATTCACTAACCTGGCCTGAATGAAGAAATCATATGGTGTGATCCATACTGTGGATGGACATGATGGACGACATCCTGCACCACAGTGAAAGCTCGACAAACCAGATCACCATTCCGTTGGTCCACAGTATGCCAAAAACCTCACTTCCCGAGCGATGGCTCCCAAACTTGTCATTTACCACTAGAATTGTCTTCCGGTCTTCCCAAAAAGTTTAAAGTCCAGGAACTCGGGAAGTGAGAAACGGGTACCATCATCCACAGCATGTCGCCCACCAAGAAAAATCCTTTTGGTCTCCAAACAAAATCGCCTCCAGCAGCCCAGGCTCTGCGGGCCTGTCCTCCCACCTGGCCCGGGCTCGGCGGGAAAAAGCCCCCGCCAAAACTCCACCGAACCATCAACAAAACCACTCAACACCGAAACACGTGAACATTGGCACGTGGTACCCAAGCCCCAAAAAATGTACAGTATACTTCCATTTGTGTACCCCCCTTGGAAAAATTAGAAGAAAAAAAAACATTAAAACCAACAAGGGAAAATAAACAGTGTTCTTCGGGGGGAGGGGGTCATATGCATATATATATATATACATATACATATACAAATAATATACATTTGGGACCCCATGATGGAAGTCGACAGCTCCCTCTAGAAAAGGCCCCTTGTCCACTTCCAGGATTATTGGATATAGGGTACTCGGATATGGGATGGTTAGCAATGGTTACAACCCGAACAACGGCTCCACTTTTTCGGGCATGCCGAAAAAGGGCCATCTGAGTTTGTCTTCAAATAGGGCAATCGCAACAATTGTAGGGGTTTGTTTCATGGAGGACCCCCGGGACCCACAACAAAATGTGTTTTGTCTTCTTTTGAGGGCATCCACAAAAACTGCGGTGTTCCTTTTGGCCTTCTTTGTTTAAGCCTCAAACAAACAGCACGCATGTGTCCAGGAAGGCGTCCCTTTCGGCGGGCTCCACAGCAGGCCAAACCCGTGGATTTCCATACAAAACGTTTGCAACCCGAATCAAGTTCCAAGCAAAACAAACAAATGGGTTGCAAAAATCCAACGGGTTGCAACACCATTTGGATTTCCAAGCAAAATGGTGTATGGTAGCAAAACGAACAAAAAAAACAAACCACCTGACGCCATGCCAAGAACCAGTTTGTTGGTGCTTGAAGTTAACGGGAGCTTCGCTCCCAACAATGTTTACCCTAAACTCTCAATTCCAGTTCTTGGAATAAACCCCATTTCCCCGCCGGATCCTCCGCCCCGTGGCTTTCTTTCGTGTTCGCTGGAAAAACGTCCTAGTCTATTTCCGATTTTTGGGAGTAAAGCCCATTTCCCCTGTCGCCGGAAAAAAAAGAAAAATAAGAAAAAAAGGAAACAACAAAAAACAACAACAACAAACACCAAAAAACAAAACGGCAAAAAGCAACAACCACAAAAACAAAAAAACATGGGGGGCTTCGGAGGGCCGGTAATTTCCGTGATCGGCGCGGAGATCGACGGAGATCGAAGAGAGCGATCGGCGCCTGGGGGATTTGCCCAGGTAGACCCCGGGGGTCTTGGCCTCGGTTGCAACGACCCCCCTGCAAAAAGTTTATTTAACTTTTTGAAAGTTTGGTGGAAAACACCTAGAGTTGTTCAAGCAAACAAAAACAAGTCTAAAGATTGGTGGAAAAATAGAAAGTACCTTAAGTTGTTCAACCAAAAAGTGAGAAAGTCTAAAGATCCGTTGCCCCATGGCCGTCAAGTGGCGTAGGCGCTGGAGCGCTTCGCCACCTCCACCAGCAGCCCATGGCCTGGCGCTCCGGAGTGCGAGGAGCGCCCGATCCGAGGGGCCGCGGAGTCGGACTGCCGGACTGACCCGAACGGGGCGGATGGCCGCACAAGGAACTTTGTGGCTGGGTGTGGAAGGAAAACTAGGGGGAAAACCAGGGAATTGTGGGGTGGCTGTGGGAAAACTAGAGGGAAAAGCCGGATTTTGGGTGGTTGCAAAAGGAAAACTAGAGGGCGCACCAGGTTTTGGGGTGAAAGGAATCACGGAACACTTGAGGGGAAAAGCACATACAAAAAGACATGTTTCGGGCTTCACGAGATAAAGATGCCAACCTTGCACTTTGTTCGATTCCAGGAGAAATTGTGGCTTCCCTAGTGGACGTGGTGCAAGTCCCGCTACGTGTTTTAGGATGAGGGACCCCCCACCAGGCCAGCTGTTTTGAGTCGAGGGGGTTCCCTAGTCAGCTACCAAAAGAAAAGGGTGCCTGGTGTTTCCCATGAAAATTAATGGAAGTTGGTGACCTGGACGGAAATGGGGGGCCATATCTTTTTGGGCTATGTGAGGAACGCGCCCCACAAAAAGAAGGAAAGGGTGGAATCCACTGAACAACTGGGAATTGAGATCACAGCCCTGGAAAGCCGCTTGCACTCGGCCCATGAATTTCCAACATATGCCGTGACAAAAGGCCCATCTCATGTACCTGACTCATTCTTCTGCTACCGCCGGGTGCTCAAATGGCTGACTCAAAAATCCCCAACATGACACACTAGCATAATATAGAAACAATGGCTACCTGCGCTTTGCTCCAGCAGTTGAACTTTGACAGCAGAACGGCTAATGTTTGAAGGGCACGGTGGGCGACAAAGGAACCAACCGAAACTTGTCATCGCACATTTCCCTCCTCCATTCCCCCCACCCACCTACCCCCCCCCAGCCGCCAACCCACCAACCCACCAACCCACCTACCCACCTACCCACCTACCCACCCTACCCACCAACTCACCAACCCAGCCACCGACCTCCCCACCCTACCCGCACCCACCTGCCCCACCCACCCCACCCACCCCACCTGCCCCCTCCCCAGGCCCCACCTCCCCCCCCTGGACCCCGCCTCCGAGCTCTGCGCCGTGGAGCGCCTGGATGCAGCTCTGCGCCTCCGCGCCGCTGGCCATCGTCACCTCAGGATCCGCGAGCCGCGCGCGAGCCCCGACGGCGCGTGGAGCTTTTGCGGAGGTCCCGTCAACCCCCCCAACCCCAAAGGGGCTCTGCGGGTGGCTTCCCTGCAAAAACACCACATACAAGTTTGTTTTGTTTTTTCCCGTTTGGTTTCCCGGTAAACAACCACCATTGTCTTTCTTTGTTTTTGGGGGGGGAGTCGCGCCGGCCACCCCCAAACGGGGTTTAGGGTAATTTGCCTTTGAAGACAAAAAGGGCGAGCTCAAACACAGGCGTAAAACTCGCAGAAAACGAATGCCGTATACCACTTGTTTTTGGTTCCTGGTCTGAGTAGCATGCAACCTGAAGTGAAAACTAAACCCGGGAAGGCCAACAGTCTGCCTGGCAATGTGTCTTCAAGTCCGACGAGTCCCTATATCGGTCCCACCCCCGGGGATTCCAGCGAAGGCATAGCCCTTGTGGCTGCGGGTGGATGGCTCACAGGGGATGTGGACGTTGGCCACCCGCCCGTAGCTCCTGTGATGGGCCGTTGGAAGCGCAAGCTCGATCGAGCAAGACGCTCTGAAGGAAGCACCCAGCTGGCTTCCTTTTAACTTCCCTAAAAACAACAACCAACCAAAAACGAGCTTCCTTCAGGTTTCCCTACACCCCTCCCCCCCCAAAAAAAAACGTGTTTGGGGTATCCTCGAAAAAGACCGGCTCCCATCTGCCCCGGCAAAACATGGAGCCGAGTGCCTTGGGGCCCGATGCCAAACCAATGTCCACCAGAGGTGGACAAACCACCAGGAGAAATTGAAAATCGTTGGTTTCCTTTTCTCGGTTGCTTTCTGCTCCCCCTGCTAAAAGTTTAACTTTTAGTGGTTTAGTGGAAAACCCATTAGTTGGCAAAAAGGTAAAGTCCTAACAGCCAAGCAAAATGCACCAAAGTTTTGGTTGCTCTCCGAAACCAATGCATGCTTATCCGCAACCAATGCATGCTTATTAAAAAATGCCCGTGCAAAACACCGGGGAGTGACAAACCCTGCGAAAAAGAAACTCCCGGCACAAATCCCTGTAAACCTCATGAGAAATGATAAGTCTTGCTCATTTGGTTTTAGCGAAACCAACTGAACACCAACCACTTTAGGGACCATTCTGAGCAACTCCGTTACAGGCGTGTCGTTTTTTAGGGGACCCCCCAACAGTGGCTCCGGTTTTCTTTTTGATATTGGTTGTCCTTCAACCTACTTGCACACTGCACATAATCAGTTACCCAAAGGACCCTGAAACAAAACGTTCACATTTTTGGACCTTTACTAAACATTGTGGGAACCCAAAAAAGGGGAAATCCGAAAATGAAAACACCAAAGGTCAGATCAAAAGGTCGATTCGCTTTGGTTGCAACTTAGTATATTGAGAACCCGTTCTCGGCCAAAGCGATTTGGGCCTTTCTGAGTACCAGGAGCCTCAAAAACCGATGAAAATGTCATACCTACAAAAAACACGATGTTTTTTGGGAAAACACGATGTTTTCGGGAAACACTGCATTTTCGATTTCAAGCATTTTCCCATACATTCCTTCAATTCGTCATCCGTTCTCAAAAGATCTCAAAAGCATCATCTCAACCTCAGAATCTCCCATCGCCTCCCCTTTTGCGCTCATAACGAAATCAGCTTCGCATTCGACACTCGTCTTTCGCAACTCCAATCTGAAAGAAGGAGGCCGGGGACCCAAATAGTCAAAAGTACCACGGTTTTATGACACTTGTCAAGCAGCAATGCCATGATGAGGGCTTGCTGGCTTCGAACAGCGCGCAAGCTCAAGCAAAGACCGTGCTTTTGCTCACGACTTCGTTGTTTTCCAGCAACATTCTTGAATTAGCGCATTCGTGGTTGAACCCGAAAACCCATAGAATTTCCACGGTTTGCCACACTTTACTACGGGTTCTCCACGGTTTAGCTACGGGTTAGAAAACACGATGTTTTCCAAAAACACGATGTTTTCTGTTGGGGCTGCGGGCTTTCTACGGGTTGCTACGGGTTTTCTACGGGTTTCTACGGGTTTTCTACGGGTTTCTGCGGCTAGCCGCCAGGATCCCGCCCCACTTTCTAAAAAGAACTCATTTTTGTTCAAAAAAACAATCTCAAAAGGTGTCACCTGGTCTTGTTTTGCACCAAAAGAAGCTTTCGGATTCCAGCACCCCCTTGAAACTGGTTCGGTATGACCTGGAGCCAGTCTTCAGGTGCCTGT